TAACAAAAATAAATAACAATGCAATATATAGAAAGTTTGGAAACATCCAAAGATTGATTCAGGAGTTCAGTTGTTTTGCATGCTTAACAGTAACAAATCAACTATGATCAAGAGTGAATATACGTGGACGGCTGTTCAATAAGTTAAATAACAAGTGACAAAGATTGAATGCAATATTCATTCTCATTCTTCACACGTGTGACAAATTTATTCTTTTTTATGAAAATATATAAATTTAACTATAGATTTTGACCAGTTATTATCAGGTCCAATCGGAAACTAGAAGAGACTTGTATTTATATTTACCATCCTAAAAAATTTCAGCTCTTTTGATGTCCAGCAATCTAAGAGCACTGACAAAGAATGAATACTACCAAGGAATACAAACAGCCCTGCTAGCCTTTATTGAATAATGAATCCCAAATTGGTCCATTCTCCAATGAATGACACGTTCAACAATAAATCAGGCAACTAATGAGAAAGTAACGAGACTCTGGTCGGACTGTTCATTCAACTCCCAGCGGCGACTATAGACGCTCTAACGATCGCCGATTCAATATAATGCTTTTTGGACCGTGAGAAATAGTTTCCTTGACCTTTGGTTCTCACTGGAAACGCATAAATAAGATTTGCTAAATGTGAGCGGAAATAGTTTCTTAGATGTATTAGACATTCTAGAGAAAAAAAATCTTTGGGTTAACACTTTTGCTTTATAAAATGTTTCCAACAAAACTAATCCTTCATAAGCCTCAGTAGAACTATCAATTGATATATTAAACAAGGTCAATGTCAATAATGATCTTACTATCACTAAACGTATAATAACAGCCACTAAATGCATATAATTTTGGTTGTAGCCTTTGAACAGGTCAGTAATTTAGTTTAATTGACTGTATGGAGTTCAGAAGCCACTCTTAAAACTCTTTAGCAGCGGGTGTTAGTCCACTTTTGTATTAGTTACATACAGTCACTTACGCCTCAATCCTTCTTTGTTTTACTACAGAAGGAAAACAGCATCATCGAGGTGCCTCCGAATCCTCCAACGTTATCTTCAACGGTGAAAACAATTGACTCAACGAAATTAAACTAACATAGCATACAGCTCAAATAGACATGACGGCGAAAATTATCAACCCTGATTGGTCCAAAACAAAAGTTCTAAGATAAATTATAGCAAAGTCAAGCAAGAGGCGGAGCTGTAGCAGCAAACTGTCTGCACGAGTTTCCATCAGGTTTTCCTCGAGTTCACACACTCTAGTACGACATCCACGCCACCTTGTCTGGTGTCATACTCTGGTCACTGGTCCGGTGTAGAGTGTCAACTGGACACCTGGAGGTCAACGTCTGCTCACATTACACGTGTCTTTACGTAATTACATCGATCATCTAGTAATGCACACCTGAAGAGTGAAGACTAGCTCCGTGGGAGACTTTGCTATTAGTTCATGTTGGATTTGTTTTTATGGGTTTCGTTCATTGGAAGGGGATCGGTTCTACAAACAATGTTCATCACATATTGAAAGAACTTAAGTTCATATATTTTTTCAGCTAATGTGCTTCATGATCAATTGTTTTAGATGGGTACTCAACCTATGCGTATTTTAACCAAAATATAAAAAAGTGAGTGTAAAATTTTGTAAGATGAACTGTATAGGTGATGGGAAGGTGATTGTCTATTCTCATGAGATCTAGACTCAAAAGGCATGAGGTCATACCTCAGAATAGATTAATTCCAAAGATTTGGAAGCTAATAATTTAGCATATAAGTTACACGCATGTATCCACGGCAAAGATTAAACTAATTTAATGAATAACTAATCAGAAAGATAAAAATATAACCAGGAAAAATAAAGAGGAAAATGGGTTAGGATGCTAATTATTTGCACTGTGTCTATCGAAACTTTATACAAATCGGGCAGATACAGCATAAAACTAACTGTCTTGATACATAGGCAATCTATAAATATGTTCCATCCATTATATTCTAAACATTTTAGCAATTAGAAATGCTTAGTCTCTTAAGCACCATAGAATCAATGAGTACTTCTGATGAAAAGCAGACCGATGCTGTAACAACAGCTCGTGTTAACATAAAAAGCGACGCGCGCGCCAAACCCTGAGGGCGCCTGGTCACCCGAGCGTTGCGACTTGCTATCGGTAAAGAAGGGGACCACCAATTACACTGATCGAGGAAACTCTTTGTTCTTCAGCAGACACGTATAAGTAAACGCGAGTTTACTATTGCCTAACAACTAACTAGGAACTGTTTCATGATGTTTGCAATGGTTTAGAAAGGAACGACTATTAAATTTGCACTTCTTTCGTGAAGTTTCAATGTATGTTACTAGGGCTGTTTTAGAACTATGTCTTCTTCTGATGAGGGGTTTTTATGTGTTACAAATTATGTGCATTGCGAGTTAGTGAGGTAAGTCGTAGCTGTTGTTTAGGGTAAAATTGGTTAATCAGTTTTTGAGGTTAGCTAAGCGTGGGCTTATTGTATTCGAAGTGGGAATTTCGGTTATATCATTGGTTGGAATGTTGTGAGTTTGTAGGTTGATGCATTAGTTAATTCCAGGGTTTGGGTAGTTGTCATTGTAGGGTTAGAAACAATGTTGGAAACAATTCCTGAAGTACGGCGACGGTCGTGGTACTTCAGGTTACCTCCTCTCAGAGACTTCATTTACCATCTCAAACTGAAGTATGTGAGAGAGGGCAACTCGTTGACGTGCTTGGACCGTGAGTCCACCCCTCTCACATACATATGGTTGAGGGGGTGGATGAAGTCTCTGAGATGAGGTATGGGGTAAGGCGGTACCTCTGTTCCTGATCCAGAGAAGAGGGTGGGATGGGAAGCGTAAGTTTGATAATTTCTATGTTAAAAACACCTTACTTTAAATTTGAAAAACAACTGTTGGATAAAATCTATAATTTCAAACAATAGGAAGTGTAATGGCGAAACAATCAAATAAAGATGTAAGCATATAAAGGTTACTTCATGTAATTTTTTACAAAAAGTCCTTCACACATCAGTGTAATATAGTCTGTAACATAGATTTTAACGATTTCTAGTTACACAATAGGACAGTAGCGTCGATTGAATTATTCACTGTGCACGGCTAGTTACTGAAGAAAGGGGAAATAAACTCTACGGCAAAAACTAACTACGATCACGGGACATCAAAGAACCCCGCATTTACCGCACTCCATAGAGATACAAGGCCTTCTTCAAATCATTTATGAACATACAGGCAAGAAGTGTTCAAAGGTAAATAAAATGTTGACTAAATACACTCTTATTTCATGAACCTCATAAATACCCCTTCTCAAAAAGTTTAAAATTGAGCCACATCTACGATATTGATATGCCATGTCTTAAAATCTCAAATGTTTCATGGTTACCATCTTGTGAGTACGCATTACGAGATGATATAATACGCTTTAAATGAAACGGGTAAATCGGGAATGCGCCAGTTGTGTGAGGGTTAACAAGGGTCAGCCTGGCACGCACCGGGACTGCGCCAACGCTAACCTAACCTGATAATAAAAGGATAAACTAAATTTGAACCTTTTGAACTTGAAGTATTATCTGAACATCAAGAAATACCGCATTGACACATTGACGGTGTGTTTGGGGGGGGGGGGGTAGATTTGGCAGTGGCGCTTTGCCGGTGTCTACCTGGCCCTAGTGGCGCAATCCCGGTGGACCGAATGAAATATGTTAAAGGAAGAAAGATAAAAATGGTAAGGAGCTGAAGAGATGAAGAGGAATAAGAGATAAAGTGGGAAGTGGTGGAGAATAAAGAATAATAAATACAAAAGAAGCCTTCAACGCTCAGGACTGCTTAAGTTGGTATCAAATACTTCATTTACGAACCTATGTTGAAAATCCAAGAGGCAGAACAAGTCGACACATTAGATAACCAATGACCCTGCACCCATAACCCCATAACACCCCGGTTCCCACCACTCCGGATCCATTCCGGGTGATTTTCCTACTAATTGGCCTGATTAATTAGCCACTGATTGTTGGAGAACAATTGACGGTTCCTACTCCTAGACAATCCGTCTGCTTGCCGCAACCCCGGCTCCGCTTCCCCTGACGCAACACAACGGTCCGTCCAGGCACCGTGAACCATGCAAGCTGTGGTAATTAGAGAGGATGTTGCCTACTTCTTCATCACACTGGAGAATCACTGACTCTGACAAGTGCTGAACTTGTATAATACTGCGTAGAATAGTAGCATTGACTTTATATCTACACTGTGTAGATATAAAGTCAATGATAGTAGTAGTTAGAGTGGTCGTTGAATAATGTTTCCTCTGCAAATCCTTTTCGAGACAGTTTTTAGTACAGTTTCATTTATGAATCACAGCATGTTGAAAGGCAAACAACCTTAGAATTCATAAACAAAACTTTGAAGATTACATATATTTGTTTGACAGTTTGATTTATGAACTGCGGCATATTAAAAATTAGACAGCCATAGAGTTCCTCCTCAAAAAATGTCAGTTTGATAATGAGAAAAGTCAGTAGCTTTTTAATGGTTCGAAATTGGACCCAGCCGTCCTTGATAAATAAATGATCCTGGATACACAGGCCAGCTGACAACTACCCGGATCATCGCACTTTATTCTTCACTCCAATTTGAGCTGAATAAGCACCTAGGCGGCCCAATCTTAATTGATAATGTCCGTCTTATGACTTTATAAACGCAACCACATATTTAGCATACTTTATACTCGTATACACTATGTCAACATTAAGTGTCTTTAGTTTTTACTTATTAGTAACCCTTTATATGGAAAAAACTTTTGAACCACACACTAATCCGTGGTTTGACAAACATCTTCCGTCTAGCTCGGTTGAGTAACTACGTAGAATTAGTTATCTAACTAATGACCTAATGTAACAACTGTTCATTTTGACTCCATTTTGATCCGTGTGGTTTGTATACAAAAGTACGAGTTATAAGCTGATTTTATCACTGATTGTGTTTCAGGATTGCCAAGATAGCCCAATGTGGGGACTCAGGTCGCCGGTGAGTCGGTGGTCAGTTGTGTCACACCCGCGGTCATGCCACGACAGGGACGGGTAGACGAGGGTGTCCGGGGGCTGCAGGGCCTCGCCCTGGCCCTCGTACTGCTCCAGACCATGGTCCAGGCACAAGGTAAGATCTAGAAGATATAGTTAAGTCTCTAGTAGCAGATCATTTCATTGGCGATTCTTTTCGGTTACGTTATGTATCTCAAAAACCTGTACTGGTTTTGATTAAGAAATCTGGAAGATATGTGTAATTACCATTTACATCTTTGACGAACAGGACCCGTGAATAAGGTCCTGCCCTACAAATTCTTGCCTTTTTACAACTGAACTTTTTTTTTTATTAACTAGGTTATTTTATTTCAGCACTGACAATTGGACATACATTATACCAAAAGTAGAGACTCATCTCATACTAGAGATTATTCAGGATGGGTATGGTTGATGTAGATTTATGCTGTCAATGCCTTTATTCCCTTAACAACTTATTAGACCTACCTACGTTCCATCTACTCGATGTCACCTAAACCTTCTCATCACTGTAATTTCAAGGAAAGAAACATTAATAGTGGGATTAGAAACAAGAAATACCAGCGTGGAATTAGAACCACGCGAAATATGGGTGCCAACAAAGAAAAATAAGATTTTAAAACTTGAGCAACTTTGTTAAAAGCTATAAATTAACTATACAGTACTACCTATATTAAATTTTCTGTCAACTAAAGGCTGATTAGTCGCTTACCTTTCAAAATTGAGCCCTGCGGCCCTGAATCACGGATCACTGAGCTTTCAAAAATATCTTATTCACTAACAAATATCCACTGATCATCACACTCTATTCTACATTATTCAAATACGCGCTTACTAGTAAGGCTTTGTACTAATGTCTCAAACAGAATTGTAATAATGTTTTCCTAACCTGCATTTTTAAACACCCTCAATCCAGCTACGAGGAATGTATCTATATACTGATGATTGCTGTCTTGAAGGGTATGTGATGGTACCATTGACTCATATCGTGTTCGGTAACCTGAGCTGAAGACTCGCTAGTGTGGGACAGTCTGGTCTGACCACAACTGACCCTTGCAACCACTTGTGGCTTCCATTATGACGTGAACCGCAGAACGCGTACTCACGATTACATGAATGGAACTCTGAAGATCGTTCAAAATGACGACATGATTTCATTCAGCGCAAGTATGTCAAAATCGCAATGTATTCAAAGATTCTTTGTATATTGCGGAATATTATGTAACAAATAAAACTAGATCAATACATACTCGTTTGCTCTTCAGCTGAGTAAGAACTCTAACAAGAAATATATTTGTATTAATTGTATTAATCTGTGCGTGATGCTAACTGCTCTACAAACATAGAGTAACTGTTCTAAAGATTTGTGTTAAGATCGCTATAAAAACCTTCCTTGTTCACTCTATAGGGAAAACTTAGACGTTAAAAAGAATTTAATACTAATAATTTGAGATCCAATTTTAAGAGGTGTTTGGGAACAATGTCCAATTCTAAAACTCAAAATTCAGACATTTAGCTCCATTCTTGGGTGGATAAAAATAACTATACCAACAGATGATGAAATGGAGCCTTCTACTTTATTTCAACACACCGACTAATACCTCATTCAATCTGTTCTAATATTCCAAGACTGTAACTACCTCCATTGTTTACATTATAGCCCAGCATTAGAGTAAATTGCAAGAATAATACTAGAGGTAATACTCTCGACATTGACATTAACAAACACAACTGTCATATTGGAGCCATTACCCTGCACAGCTGGCCATAATGGTACTGGTCTACGTAATCTCGAGGCATATCCAAGTAACTACCTCATGCAGTCAGTAGCAGCTCTCAATGGAATCAGATCCAACTGCTGTCTATCAGGCTTCTTACGAGACAGCGCCGCATGTATTGCGTGCATGCGTCGGGAAAGATCAAAGTGTTTAGTAAGTCGTTCTGAACAATTTTGTTTGCATTTAAATCTGTTCAACCTCTTCTCAAAATTGTAGCTTTCAACGAAGATTCACTACGTTGGAGTTGTATTGTATGTTTCTATGGCTGTAGAAAAATCATATTAGTAAGAAATGAGAAAGTGGAATGTCATGGGCTTTACAATGTTTTCTACTGACTTAAAAGCTGTTTCTTAAGCTAGTAACATTGGTTAGAAACTAGCTCTTTAAATTATTTTTTTATATGCTTTGGGGATATCAACTGTCTGAATTTCTTTAGGTGATTTAGCTGTGTATCCGTTGAATTTTCCCTTGTGTATTAGTTTAAAAGCCAACAATTTGTGCTATTAAGGCCCAGTCCAGTTTTGAACAAAGGTTTTAGGTGGGGGAAATCTACTAGAAGACCTCTTTAGCCAATCTGCTCTCTAAATCAATCTAGACAATGAATCCTAAGATGTTCAGCACACTTAACTATATGTGTATTTTAAAGGGGTTTGGCATTAATGCTTCCACTTACCAAAATATTCTGAAATACGTTACCCATTATATTAAACAACGCTGAAAACTCCAGAAACATTTTAAGATCACCACTCAACCAATGTTTCTCATCAGCATCCAATATTCGCAAATTTCGGTGGCAAACACATTTTCTGTCAGCCAATTTAGCAACAGACGGTAGAGTATGACTAGAGCGGAAGACGATGGCAGGTGAAGCAGAGTCGACAGAGCATGTCGTAGACAGCACAGCTAATCACAACGGCAGGTGTAGACGATAGAGAATGACTAGGTAATGTGACAAGACAGTGCTTGACTCAGGGAAAAGCTTTTATCATCGTCCGTGTGGTTGTATGCTTTTTGTTTTAAGATAGCAGATTCGTTAGGAGGGGGATTCGTTTCATATTCAGCAATGTTACCAAATTGTTCAAGCTTAGATTGTCCTCGGTGCCTGAAACGCTGAAACAATTAAAGAAGTTGTTAAATTCAATAAAAAAATCATTTACTTTACAACAAAATGTCTGCTTTTATAAAATGCACCTAATCGCAATGTGTTTTCGAAGTTTATTTATAGAGGTGAACCTATTCAGCCCCAACTTCTCCAATAGTTATATAAAGTGAGACTTCTATCCTTGAGATCTGGGTACAATTCCCACCAATCACCAATCCTGGCATAGACAAAAAGAAAAATAATTCTCAAGTATATGCTCCTGGCTTGCGACTATGCCATGACACATTGGTATGCAAACTATCTTCTTAATGTATGTCTACCTTTAAAAAAGGATACATCTTTTATATGAGTAGACTTTTCCGTGTGGCGGAGAATCATCTCCACCAAAACAAATTGGAAGCATTTTTTCACGATATGTCGGCAACTCCACTGTCGAGCCAAACTCCTATTACATCACTACTCACACCGAACAACCCGATATGTTCCACTGCACATGCGATGGACAACTGTGATACCAGATATTATGAAGTTAACAGTGTTTACGTTTTTCTCGTTTATCGGTAACCGGATACTCGTTATCGAACGGGTGATATCGATCGGATAAATATCACATTACCAAATCGAAGATAAGTACATCACCTCACATGCGAGTAGTCTGAGCACACGAGCAGCAAACCTGCGTGTTCCTCGCTGTCAAGCAAGCTCACTTCGTGCTCATTCGTGTAATGGCCGCCTGTCTCCACACATTTGTGTCAACTCTCCAAAATGGTGTTTGACACACTCGGGTTGGCTGACTTTGTGTGTCAAAGGAGATACAAAGTTTTCATCGTTTCACGTCCGTATTATGTGAGTAAAAATCATTTTTACCGGCATTTAAAACATTTTTCACCCTAAGGGCCAGAAGAAGTCACTGTAAATTCCCCCATAATAGTATTGCAGAAAGGTTCTATTGTAATTATACCTACAAAAAAGTGTCATCATCGTTTCAGGATTTTGAATTTGATCTAGTTGTGATAATTACTAGTTTTTTACGAAAAATCTTAATAAATCTACGGATGCAATAAAATTCAAGCAAATTTATTCATTCTCTGAGCCAACTTTAATTGATGAAAGTAGAAAATGTTAAAATATTTAAACATTATACAACAACATGTTCTTCTAAAATAACAAAAATCTGTAAAATGCTGTATTATAATAACTATCCATCTTACTAATGTGACTTTTTTAATTTTTGAATCATAGGTTTCCGATTGGCACCACTTGTTTACAATTTGCCTGTTATTTCTCCTAGCGTGATTGAGTGCATATTTTTTTCGTGTAGCAATCTCTTCAGTTTCGTCATGTCATATTCTTGTTTAATGTCGAAGGTACAACCAATGATGTAACGGTGGTTTGAGCCAACTAGTTCCGTTTTTATTTTTATTTAATCGGTGGGGGCAGAGGCCACAGTCATAAACTTGATTGAGACGTGCTGGAAAGTGATATATAATAAATCTAAAATGAGCTGTGGTCTAATAAGGGGAAAGCTGAATGGAAAGAAATGTCAGTTTCACGCTACAGTACGCATACACTTCTTCATACCTTCGTACATTCACTCTAAAAACTTGCAAATCTTAATAGTTACAGATCACAAATCCGTTATATCAGGAACTTAATTAAGGAGGATTTATAATCCCTTAACGGTTTCTAACAAGGTATGCTCAGCCGTGCAGAATATGGGTCGTTCCGCAGACAACACCACTAATCAACTCCTTCTGTTCTCAATTAACGTCTGAAGTGACCAGGTAAGGATCGTGACCTATAGCTCGTGAGTCCAGAGGCTCAAACAGAAGATAGAAGCCGCTGTTACAACACCGGGTGTGTCCTTCGACCTCGAACATGACGAAACTTCAGATTGCTGCACGAAAATCGTCCGAAAACTTTTTCATTCTCCAAATACGCCCGCAATCACGCTTGGGGAAATCACAGGCAAATTGGAAAAGAAGTGGTGCCAACCTGGAACCTTGTTGCATACCGTATGTCGATTGTGTGGCCGACCGCAACCACGGCGCAAATTGACTATTTCTTGCTGCTAGACTTGACTACGGTTATTGAAGTCATTACAATAATGCATAATGGTATTGGTATCATTGTTTGCAACATGAAGAAATCGGCCTACTAATTTTCTTCGCAATAAGAAAAAGGTCCTTTTATTTTAGTTTATAGCTTATTTCTTTA